CGGTCGGTTGGGCCACCTCACCGGCGTGCAGTGAGGGGGGCGGAGGCGTGGGGTGGCGGTCAGCGCCTCCCCTCCGTGCACACGACAGAACCCCGAGGCTGGCCTGGAGGGAACGGATCCGCCTTGAAAACCTGCATCTTTCCTCCTCACCGGTCAATTTCTTCTCGTGTCTTACAGATTCAGCCAGTTATTGAAAAAACGTTTCCTTTTTCTCAAGTTCCAGAAGCCTTCCTGAAGGTAGAAAGAGGACATGCGAGAGGAAAGACCGTGATTAATGTCGTTTAAATAAACACTGTGTGGTGATTGTTGGCTGTCTTATTTGGTGAGTGCCTCTCGGCCCGGACGTTTTTGTAACCGTTGCTTTCCAGATTAGATGATAAATTCCATGATCCAAGTGTGGAAAAACAGACACCTTTTTGCCAGTAATTTGTCTTCTGAACTGAGCACAGATTCATTTTATAGGGCCCCCCTCCCCCCCGCGTCTGCATGTCACCCCGCCCACAGTGCTGTCTGGTACCCTGCGCGACATCCCTGTGTTCCTGTTTGCCGAGAGGTCCTCTGGGCCAAGGCGAGGGGACACACAAGTAAGACAGACCATGCAAATGGCCGCGCTTGGCCTGCTCTAGAAATTGCACAGGGGAGACTGCAGAGCTTTCTTCAGGCTGTTTGTTCACGCCAGATTTTCCCATTGTGTCCTCTTCTGTTCCGGTAGCTCAGACTCTATTCCTGTGAGCTGCTAAAACTTGTGGCATGTGGCTGGATGGCAGCGTGAAGAGCTTCCTTCAAGCTACCTCCTTCTTGAAAACAGTGCTCCTGGATGATTCCAGCTGGGCACGGTTTCCTCTGCCCTGCTGTGGTCCTAACCACCCTCAGTTCTCAACCTCTCCTTAGGGTCACATACAAAATCTGGCTGCTGATTTGGTTGTTGACTCTCAAGAAAATGAAAGGGGACGCTAAAGTTTCTAACTTTACATTTTGCATAAAGGCTAGGCCTCTTTCAGCAATCGAAGCATGCTTCTCTGAGGACTTTTCCATGGAAATGGCAACCCTTCTCCAGTGTCTGACCTTAAATGCCTGCACTTAGTTATCTCACCAAGAAGCCCCCTGCAGCTTTTGAATTTGTCTGTGACCTTCACTCAAGGTAAGTGTTTCTTTCCTGGTGTTTTCCTCATTACCTCACCTCAGCTACTGGCTTTTAGCTTTGGACGTAGACTTGTTCAGGAACGTGCTACTCGGCTCATTCCTGTCAGACACTCGGTTGGTAACGTGTTAGATGAGGGCTTCTCTGGAATTGCTGGTCTCACCAGTACAAATATTCAGAAGAGCGAAAACGGTACTCTCGTCAGTCCCAGCCACTCTGACTTCCGTCTGAACGGTCTCCGCGCTTTTCCTGGCGGGCTCCCACGTGGTACAGTGAGGGGGCAGAGCTCTTGAGGGAGGACCTCACTTACCCTCACCCGCTTGGAAAGTGGAGCGGGGCCCTTTCACCACTGAGTCTGGAAAGCCCTGAAACCTGCCTCTTCCTCATCCGTCGGCCTCGCTGTGACGTCTTGTAACGGCCACGGCAGGGACGCGCTCAGCTCTCACCCGTACAGTTAACCAGAAACAAGTTTATTCAGGTGAGAAATTCAACACCGGCGATTGCAGGAGGTCTGACCCCCGCGCACTAGTGATCCGCACAAAGGCCTCAAGTCCCAGCTATACATCTCGGAACCAGACAGACCTGTTGGCAGCTGTCGGACATGTGCAAACGTTACTTTAAAACTGAAGCTAAGCTCCTGACCACAACTGCCGACCCAAGACTCGAGAGAGGAGAGCACGTTTTAGCATTGGGAACACCCTGCAACAGATAAAAAGGAAACAAGATTTGTTCTTCCTGGGATGACAGCACCACTCTTAGCAAGGATAATGAAATGAGGACGAGCATATGCAAAGAGGTTCTAGCAGAAGGCCCTGGTTGAAGGGTAGCACCGTGTGGGCCAGTATGTTGTCAGCAGTTAAACTCTTAACCTTTTTCACTGAAACGCTGCGTTTTAGGGCTTCCTGAGTCCTACGATTTGAACAAGCATCGCTCCAGGCCTCCTTTCCTTCACGCTCTGGAGAATTGCCGGTCAGCCCCCACTGCCTGCCCCAAGTGTCATGGCTGCCGCCCGAGGCCGTGTGGCCACGGGGGCCGTGGTGCGGAGACCAGAGGCGGCCCGCGCAGGCCTCGCGCCGGTGCGGCTGGCTAGGAGGGCAGCACCTGAGGCGACAGGCCTGAGCTTAGCAAAGGCTCATAGGCCATTGCTTCAGAACGAATTGTAGAGGAGGGAGGATGGACTGATAAACCAGGTCTGGCATCCGCAACAGAAGCGTTAAGCGACACTCGTTCGTGACATTTCAGGGCAGCCCGCAAGTGGGTTAAAATCAGCCAGATCCTGCTCGTGTTAGCGGACGTGACGTGAAATCCCGTACACTTACTAATGTTCAATACTAACAAAATAGTATTTTATTTGGTTCCTTAAAATGATTCGATAAACCTTTCACCACTTTACTATAGAGCATAATTAATGATCCCAGAAAACCGAAGAACCAAAATTATTGGCCTGATACATTTCTTCTCAGATGCTAACACTTGAGCTTTTGTCCGTCCCTGTAAAGTGTAAGGCATTGGTAGGCCCACAAAGTCTACTCGAAGTCTGTTCCTATTCTCTCCTGTCACTCTCTTTGGAAATAATTTAAAATGTCCAGTCTTGATACAACTTTTTTTTTTTTTAAACACCCAAAAGCTGCTAATGAGGCAACCTGGTAAGCAGCTACCGAAAGGAAATGAAAGGCAGGAAATGAAAGAAGGACAAATGGTTGGTTTAAAACTATTACAGTCTTTTGAAAAGAGACCATAGTCCTGGTCATGGCAGGGTCATTCAGGGGAGGACCTAGAGCTCCTGCAGAAGCAGCAGGTCCCCTTTCCTTGGGGCTCTGTCCGTTTTTGTTTTTAAGCAGCTGGAAGACCTCCAGGAGCATTCCTCCTGCCTTCTTCAGGTTTACAGGACCATGGCTTCCCACACTTGTGTTAACTTCTCTTTGCTGACGGTGTTGAGGATAATGTGATTTTGGTCATACTGTGTTCCCCCTGAAAGAAAGAAAAGGAAAATAATAAAAGGAAATGTGCCTGTAGCAGACAAAGCAGAGAGGAAAGGCCTGGGCTGAGAGGATGAATCAGCTCTCGGTTGTGTTCAAATCCCATCCTGTGGGCACCAACAACTCCACACAGGATGTCCTACCTCCCAGGGCTCCTTTTCCTACTCAAGACTTAAAAGCTAGGAAGCACTCACTCTTTAGGTGTCTGAAATGAGGAGGTGAGGGGTGGGGAGGTGGAAGAATCTAGAGAAGGGAAAAGGAACAGAGTGCTGGTGAAATATATTCAGTGATGGTGGATTCGCTGTACCAGGCCTTGAAAGTAGTGGAAGCGTTGGCATCTGGAACAGGTTTTGCATGAACAATGACAAATGGCTGTATTAGGGCAAAGGGGAGGTTTGAAAGACACCCAGATACGTGGACTGGGCAGCATGCCCACTCCTGGGAACGCACTTGGTATATAAAAATTCATAGCACTTGATCCTGAGTTTAACTGTACTTTTAAAATTAGCATAATTTAAACTCCCTTTCACCAGAATGTAAGAATATTTTCCAAGGGTGCCTACTAGACATTTAGATACGTGGGTGCTAAAAAACATGGCCTCTTCTTTTGATGGAGAAGCATCAAAGTGTTACCTGATTTTTTTTTTTTTCGGTGTGGAATAAGTAACGGTTTCAGATACCTTACCTTTCATAGCATAAAAGCCTCTGCACCAAGGTTATATCATGGGGACTCCATCAAAATAAAACTCTGTTCCTCTAGATGTGAGGCAGTGTGACAGGTATTGAAATCCTACTGCATCCTCAAGCCAAGAAGAATTAAATGTTCTTATTTTTTTAAGCATTTGTAAGAAATCAGTTTATCATCACTGATGATCTAGAGCCTCTACACATCTAGGTGTAGGATAGAATACCGGAGCAAGGTGCCCTGAGCCTGTGTGTCGTGGGGAAGAAAGGTCACCACCACCAGCAAATCCCACTGTCTCCACTGAGACACACTCTACTCCATTGAGATTTGGGGGTGTATTAGGATCACAGTGTTGTCTTGCTTCACTCTTTAGGATTATGATGTAATACACGCAAAAAGAATGTTAAGATACCATAATCTTAATTAGAATCATGAAGACTAGAAAGTCCTTGAGAAATCATCTGATTTCATTCTTCTGCCTCTGGGGAGAATGGAGATCATCCCAAACTTTTGATGTTTTTAAAGCGAGGAGGAATCTGCTTCCATTGCTGTCATAATGTACGGGGTCTGAAATAATACAGGACTTCTACCGAAAAACGCCTCCCTCCCCAGACACCAGGAGGTAAGTTACAAGAAAGCCCCTTGGTCCGATAGATCTTGGGGCAAGGTCAGCAGGTAACAAATGGTTCAACAGCTGTAGCTGAGGAAGATCCGAGTCTCCGATTAAGTGTAACCGAGAGTGATTTGTATTTCCCTTGCACCTACTCCCTCATGTCCACGAGGTGGCATCACTCTCCCACATTCTGAGAAAGTGAAATTCAGTTTAACAAGGCCAGTGACTAGTGCAGTTCCCCCTACCTAGTCTATACTGAGAGTTCATAAACCTATAGAACCCTATCCTTACTCAGGAAGCACTGGAAGTATTTAGAATGCATTTCAGGAAGGGACCTTGGAGCTTTAAAGCAAAGCCGTACGGAGGAAGCTTCTAGAGTTCCACGGTTCTTGTCAGTCAAGACTCAAAGCCAGGTGTCCTTACTCCTTGTCAAGTTCCAGTGTAGCAAGTGGGAAATAGTCCTGTATGCTTGGAGCGTCTACCTTGTAAACTCTCTGAAGCCAAGGTAGTATTTCCCTCCCCACTTTGGTACCCGGTATGACTAGCTCATAAGGATTACAGGAACCTCTTAACCTTGACACAGAAAACTGATCACATAAGAAACATGAATCCATGTTTTTTAAAAAACAATGTTTCCAATCTAGTCGCATTTTTTTGCTTTTGAAACTCTGTCTTATAAGACCAAGGAGCTCTAGTTCAATAAGGTGATACATGCATATGCATGAGAATCCTCAGCTATACTCACTGAGATCAGGGCCTTTTGTGATTTTTAGTCTATTATAATAAAACAAATGGTTTGAAGTCAGCCTAGGTCCAGATTCCACCTGAGCACTTACGGGTCTAGGACTCTGATCAACCCCTCTGAGCCTTACTCTTGCGGCTATAAAATGGGACCGGGGAGGAGGGGGAACCTGGGGCTCCTAGGGTCGCTGGGAAGAGCCCGTGAGCTAGAATGCATGGAGAGTGTTCGCAGTGGCTGGTCCAGAGCAAGGGATCGCTTACTATTAAGAGTATGCACATTTTCACAAGTGAAAAATACATTTTTAGTTAAGTACAGACACAACAGAGAAAATAAATGATTCTTACCTTTGACATCTAAAACTAAATTCGGTTTCAACTTGCTGTAGATCCTGCCGTCCGGCTTCATGCTCCAGAACTGACTGTCGACATTCTGGTCGAGGGCGAGGCCCAGTTTAGAGCCAGAGGTCACGAGGCTCCCCACGATCGTCAGGCAGCAGTCTTCTGCTATCTGCTTATGGGAAAGACAAGGCAGCTGAGAGACGGAGACATGTTCAAGGATCATGACCAGTTCTTGGCACGAATTGACTTTTAAAGTTGTCTTCGTTGTCCGCTTCATTTACCCCAGAGGAGGCTTTAGCCAGAGGAACTGGGATCAAGCAACAAATACTTATACCTTCATTTCAGGTGACACGAGTGCTGGAAAGTTCTCCATTCTTGTAAGATTTCTGCCCTTCGTGAGTCAGGGAAACCTTAGAACATTAGTTCTCCCTTTCAGAAATGACCATGATCAGAGGCGGGGGTCTATTGCTGTATCTCCCCTGACCTAACCATCTCTGCTCAGCCTGACCCTTCTGGAATGTGACTGCATCTTTAATTTGAAAGGCTGTTGTAACACTGAAATAGCTTAAAGGGCATTTTATTATTTTAAAACTTGAAATTCCACCTACTCACTTGTCTTTCCTTCATGAGAAATGTCTAGAAAGTTCCAAAAAGGCAACTATAAAAAGAGGATAAAATACAAATGCAGTGGAGTGTGAATTAATGCAAAGATTTTAAGGGGCCTTTTCTGAAGTGAATCTACCCTCTCTATATAAGCTGTGTAGTCATATGTTCACGTGATGTTAACACATCCTGCAACAGAAAATGCTTATGAAAAGTGTATAATAGATAAAGAGAGTGATAATCTGGGACACTGTTTCTCATTGACCTACTGAATTCACAGTTAACATCACTAAAGTGTTTATTAGAAGTAATTATAAGTAATTGCTGAAAGGCACTGTTTTCTTGAAGTGTTTAATTCAAAGACAGAAGTTGGCTTTTTTTATGCTTCTGCAGTCCAGCCCCTTCTGCTTCTCATGCTATTTCTTCTACGCCTGTCTAAACAGTACTTCCGCTTACTGAAAGGATGATTCTCCCTCAAGCACAACAGACCCAATTAACAGGTTGTGCTCCCTTCCGCAGGGCTGTATGCCTTCTGCTGACTCATGGGCACCAAGGTTTAAGAAAAAAATCGGGAGCAAACAGTCAAGCCCAAGAAGGAGTTAGAAAGACTATCTACAACAGAAGCGTGAGCCTCTCTAATGAAGTCTTATAGTACATTCAGCTTTACCATGTCTTATATGGCAGGAGGGATGCAACAGGGAGACAGACCATTTTCCATTTTACAAGGTATGACAATTAGGCAGTGGACTGTGTTGTACACAGGGTCATATGTCTTCGCCCTAGTCTGCAGGGTCCTCCAAAATAAAACAAGAATGATTTGCATTTTGAAATAAATCATAATAAGTAGATTAAGGAAAAGGGGGAAAATAACACAGACACTTCCTTCTGTTACTACATAATCAGGTATGGATGTAAATATTCCATCCTGGATCAGTGCTAGGTTTACCTCCCATTTTAAGTTCCTAGATTGGTTGGTTCTATCAGCAAATAAATATTTTCATGGAAAACCTTCTAATTTAGTTCTCAAAGTGCTCCAGGAAGTGTGAAATAGCATCTACTTGAAGAAAGAGGCTATTACAAACCCTTATCTAATCCTAAAAGCTCACCCTGCATTTGATGCATCCTTCTTGATAAATCCAAATCTGATCATCAGCACCGACATCTTCCATGACCTGTATTCTGAGAAGCTTCAGATCCTCTAAGTTTCCATTGGTGGACATGAATAACCCCGTTGCTTTGTTTCGAAGTCTGAAATAAATTCGTTTCTGGAAGACAAAGATGCCGGCAGTAGTCATATATAGGGAGTACTGTTAGGAGCACAGAATAAGCATCGACAGCAGGGGCAGAATCCGAGGTGAGGCTGGAATAGGGATCACTGCTATATCCCTCAGAGGCTTTAGGATTTTCCCAAGGCGGAGAGTTTGTCAAAATTTCCAAGTGCCTGGGGCGGGGAGCCTGGGGAGAGCCCACAGGCTGGATGTTGGTGTGGTAGCATTTCCGAAAGCCATCACGACCCCTCAGCACCAGAAACAGAGCCCAAATCCAAAAATTCAGGGGGTGGGGAGAGACCAATTTCATACTTAAAACTGAAACTAAAAAGCTGAGTTACATTTACAAAAAAAAAAAAAAAAAGACTTCAGAGAAGAGTACTGAAAACCTGGAGAGGGAAAACAAATACCTGAACAAAAGGTCGTAGAGAACCTATTTGTCGACAGCCACTGAACTCATACCAGTTCGGGACTTCCGCTGGGGACAGGAGGAACTGCCGGCCCCTGTAATTGCCATATTCATAAGTAACCCATCTGGGGAAAAAGTAGAAAACCACAGTAAGTGGCAGTATCCATTGACAGTCGGCTGCCGTTACATTTATTTTTACAGTGCTTCCCATTTTTACACCAAGTTTTATACCTTAAACATACATGGGGGGAGAAAAGGAAACTACCTTATTATCTAAAACACTTAAAGCACCCATTTCTTGACAAGTAGGAAATTCTTGGTACATGAGTATTTATGCCGAAAAGATCCATTCCTGAATAGAAACAGGTAAGTTTTTCCCTCTTAATAAGGCCATGAAATACGGTCCTTTCCACAAGGCTGCCCCGTACTTCCTGTGAGGCTTTCATAAAACATTTTTAGTTGTAATTTTTTTTTAAAAGATTTTATTTATTTGAGAGAGAGCAAGCACTCAAAAGGGGGTGCGGGCATAGGGAGAGGGAGAAGCAGGGAGCCCGACGCGGGGCTCAATCCCAGGACCCTGGGATCATGACCTGAGTTGAAGGCAGACACTTAACCGACTGAGCCACCCAGGCACCCCCAGTTGTAATAATCTTTTATTTAAATAGTTACTATTTGTGAAGTTCTTAGTGTGTGACACATGCTATGTATTATATAAGGGTTAAATAAAAATAACTCAATAAATGTTTATTTAAAACAAGTGTAATCTTCCTCAATCCAGAAAACTGCTGAAGATACTCTGGTCTCTCTGCCCGAAGATGCTGTTACCCACACCTGAAAAAGTATGGGTTCTAGTACACACTGGCATGCAGGAAACCCAGCAACCTTCCTCTCTGGCTGATGTATGACATCAGTGAAGAATGTTCTCTGCTTTTAATCCCGGAACTCTAAAATGTTATCATCTTAGCCATTTTATCATAAAAACAAAATATTAAAACCTTCTGGGGGGGAATCACCCATAATTCTACCACCATAGTAATCCATAATAGTTTTGTTAATAACTGTAGGCCCCTCCAATATCTGATGCATATAGATAGATTATGCCTGTTGTTTTTAGGAGGGAAAGAAAAATAATTTCTTAAAAATACTTATTACATGGGTAGTCCTTATTCATTTTTATATTTTAATTCCAAAATTATTCAAAGTTGAGAAAAATCTTTCCACATTGACTTTTAATTATTGTGCACAGCATCTGCTAATCATTCTTAGGTAAAGGAAAATCCTGACCCTTACTCCAAAGCCCAAGGACTTGGCCTTTCAAAGGGATAAGAAAAATCAGCTCCCTTTCTTACTTGCTAAAAAAAGTGCTGAATATATTTACTGAGCACTGGTTTGCAAAGGATTCCCCTAGGAACTTGAGCTAAAGACAAAGTCCTCTCCTTAAGTAAATTAAAAATCTGGATGAAGAGGTGAAAACTACCTCACACATGACTTTTCCCAGTGGGAAAACTATGCTATGAAGGTGCATGATTATTAATCCTCACAGGAAATAAGGGGATAAGAGGTTATATTTCAGTTTGCTTAAGGTAGCATAGGCAAGAAAGAAATATGATTAAACCTAATTTTAAAAATCAAATATTTTACTGAATAAAAAGGTAACTCACTTACATGCCACCAATCACCTGAACAGAGCGCATCTGTGTGTTGAATCCTAGGGATCGGAGATTAACTACTTCTGCATTAAGTTCAATCTTTTTTCCTTTGAAGTCTTCTCTTTCAAAAAGAATAATTGTTGGTTCAGAAAATTCCTGTTGAACAAAAATAGTGTTCTATTACTCAGCTTTGATAATAATTCAGACTCATACAGAAATATCTTGTTAAGGACAAATCACAAGATCTGACCAGGCTTAGCCTGTCCTAAAGTCCCTTTCCCTGGAGTTCTGGGTGTTCCTGTACTCCAAAGCTAAAGAGAGGAAGGACAGAGGGGCAGGAAGGTTTTCTACTGCATAGAAAGGTAGGCAAATATAATGGTGTTTTAAAGCGGGGGGGGAGGGGGGAGACACATATCCTAGGCACAAAGGAAGGGGTATTTGAATCATCAACACTTGTAATTTATTTTCAATTTTGCCATTTTTTTATTGGGGATAAGGAGGGGCTAGAGAGCCATGTACGTAAATAAATGGTAAGGGTCTAAGGATGGTGGCGGTCTGGGGTCTAGTGGGACAGTGGTAATTACCTAATCAAGGAACCTTCCCCTTGTAAGCATTTTTCAAATGTCTTTTTTGTTTTAATTGTCAGTAAGACAACAGATTCTGTGTACTCGTGCTCCCAAGCTTTCCTGTAGGAATAATTGTTAGGAGAGAGAAAAAGAAAACAAAAAACCAAGGTGCAAGCCCCACTTTCAAGCCCTCATTCATTTGAAAGAGGACCAGAGCACAGAGGTCCACCGATTTTGAGAAAATAAAAAGCTGGCAGCTCATGCTTGTTTTCAAATTACAGACCCTCCTGACCCCAGTCTATGCTCTAATGATAATAATCCTAAGATCATAAATAATACATCAAAAATCCCCTCCCTGCTTAAAGTTTTGTGGTTAGGGTGTGGACACTTACGGCCTCATTTATGTGGATGTGCCCTGACGTGTACAAAGATTTCTGTGGAGCAGTAAACAGAGCAGATGAGGCCGTAGAGGTGGTTTGTATGGTGCAGGAATGAGGTTATATAAAACACAGAAGGAAACGACATGAGTATCAGAAGTGGCCTGAGCACGTATGCCAAGTGCTAGTTGAAGGAAGGCGTCTGAAAACCTGACCACTGAGGTGGGTTTGTTTTGTTGTTGTTTTTTAAATATACATTTGGAGGTAGCTTTTAGAATTCTAGGCAGGTTAAATATTAAAGTTTTAGATATTTTATTGTTTATAAGCTAATGAATCTTACGCATCATCCCATGTTTCTCTGCTACTGTTTTCACATCTCAAGAAAGGTCAACATTTCCGTTATTTGAACAGGCAGGCAGGGAGGAGATAAGCCACCTCATGTATGTTCTCCCTACTTTTAAAACGCAAGTCACCAACGACATATGTTTAAAGCTTTGTAGGCGAGATCAGCTACAAAAAAAACTACAGACACATCCAGACTTGAACATCTGAACATTATCTTGATGTTTTGTTTTACTTATTTATTTGACACAGAGAGACAGAGAGAGAGGGAACACAAGCAGGCAGAGTGGGAGAGGGAGAAATAGGATCCCCACTGAGCAGGGAGCCTGATGCGGGGCTCGATCCCAGGACCCTGGGATCATGACCCGAGCTGAAGGCAGACGCCTAACGACTGAGCCACCCAGGTGCCCCTTTGATGTTTTGTTTTACTGAATATCACTTTGGCTACATCAAAATTGAAGGTTTCTGTTCGGAAAGGGACACTATCATCTGAACTAGCAAGGAACTGTGATAAACCAGGAGAAGACATGATTGCAAGTCTCTAAAACAACAGAGTGCTAGATTGAAAAACCACGAGGACTTTCTGCAACTCAGTAACAACAACAAAAGATACAGAAAACTAAACAAGAGCTTGGCAAAGGCTGTAAAACAGGCAGTTCACTGAACAGAAAACCCAAATGACTAATTAGTGTATGAAAGCCCGGTCTCACTAATAGTAAAACATATCACAACGAGATAATACTTTCTGCCCAGTTTCTTCAAACTGACAAAAGTGAGAGAATACCCAGTAATGGCAATGATGTAGAAAACAGGACCCACATGCTCTGCTAGCCAAGATCTCAAGTAGTGGAATTTGGCCATACTTAGAGAAACTGCATATTCATGCATGTGAAATCCAGCAAATCCACTCTTTTTAAATACACACCCCCAGGAGACTCTCACACAAGTCAATAGGGATATGTATGTGTGTGTGTGTGTGTGTGTGTGTGTGTGTGAGGATTAAGTAAAATATGGTGATGAATACTTGCACCAATTAGAATCAATAAACTGGATGTACGTTCAGCATAATGGACAGCTCTTAAAATTTTTTTAATGTAAGTATTGGGTTGTTTATGATGATGAGAACTATGCCATCATACTGTATGTAAACTAAAAGCCAATATGTAGATTTTTTTAAGATTTTATTTATTTATTTGACAGAGAGATAGAAGAGCACAAGCAGAGGGAATGGCAGAGGGAGAGGGAGAAGCAGGCTCTGCACTGAGCAGGGAGCCCGACGCGGGACTCGATCCCAGGACCCTGGGATCATGACCCGAGCCGAAGGCAGACGCTTAACCATCTGAGCCACCTAGGCGCCTAATACGTAGATTTTTTAAAAAACATAATATCCAAGCTGTATCGCAAACACATTAGAATGGGTGCCTGTAAAGGAGAGAGGAATAGAAATAGGGATCAGGTATGCGATGGAAAAAAACAAGACCCGAAAGGTGCCTCGAACTAACCCCTGCTGACTGCTGTACCACGGCTGACTCAACACTCTACGCCTGGAGTCTGAGAAAAGCAGCAAACCAAACCAGATCTAAAAAGAGGGCCGCCTGGGCGGCTCAGTCGGCTAAGCGTCTGCCTTGGGCTCAGGTCATGATCCCGGGGTCCTGGATCGAGCCCTGAGTTGCGCTCTCTGCTCAGCGGGGAGTCTGCTTTTCCCTCTCCTTCTCTCACTCTCCCTCAAATAAATAAAATCTTAAAAAATAATAATAATAATAAATAAATAAATAAAAAGATCTTAAAAGAGACCAAAAAGTTACAGGATGGAAAGTTCTATGGCAACTGCTTTCTCTGCCTCTGACCTTAAGTCCTGAGGAAGCCGACCTGCTGGTCTCCGTCAGCTACGTGAGCCCCACATCTCCATCACCCTGTATTCACACTGACATACTTACAACATCTATAAGACGAAGAGACTTGAAAGTTGCTCCAGGCGGGCATCCCATTGCAGAGAGACAAGGATAGTGGCCTTCTTCCAACACGTACTGATTACCAGAGAAATTTTCTCCATCATAGGCAACCCAGCTACAATAGGAAAAACCACATGAGTTGCGTTAAAATGCAAGTCACCAACAGCATATGTTTAAAGCTTTGTAGGCGAGATCAGCTACAAAAAAAACTACAGACACACCCAGACATGCATGTACGATATGTAATTTGAATATTCCCACCCAAGAAGTCTGATTTTGAGAGGTAGCCTGCTATAAAGCACAATCTGTATGGCTCTCTGTTCTTTCTTCAAAAATGCCTAGACCTATTTACTGCTTTCCATCTTGTTGCAAATTAATATTCCTAAGAAGTCAGCTGTTAGTTTTGCATTTGGGAAACCATTTTTTTCTCCATGCAAGTATTCATGTTTTCCCTGTGCCCCTTCTAGTATTCCTTGCTCCCCTCATGGGTGCCCCCATTCTCCAGCCCCTGAGCCCTGTCTGAATAATCCTTCAGCCGTCACAGCTAGACAGCCACCCGGATCTATGGGTTTCCTCCCCGAATTTCTCTCCTTCATCCTCATTTCCAGCACCTCCGTACTGGGCCATGAGTCAAAATACCACAGTGACTTAGACAAGTCGTGTAGCCCCTGTGGGCCTCAGCATTATTAGTAATGTGGCGATTTACCAGCTTCCCCAGAAGAGGTGAGTTTTTTGTTCATTCTTTTAATCTAACAAATGCTTACTGAGGGCTAATTGTGTGTCTGGTGCTTTTCCATTGCTGGGGACAGAAGCGAGGACAAAATGAAGTCCCTGCTATCGTGAAGTTCACACTCCAGTGAACTGAGACAGACGATAAGTGAACAACAAAAGTACGTATCTGGTCCTACTAAGTGCAGCAGGGCAGGGGAGAAAGAGGAACCGGGACAGAGACGGAGGTGTGTGCTGATACACTGTGGAATGTGACCGGAAATCTGTGCGCTCAAATGCAAAGCCAGGGCAGGCTCCCCTGCACAAGGCTAAAGGATAGGCTCATGCTGTTGAGACCACAGAGAACTATAATATGACTAAAGGCACCGTTACTATCATTATTATTATTAGACATAATTCCTCATCACCTGCACAGGTGGCTCCAAGGGTTTCCTGACCAACGTTCCCTGACTTTGGGCTCCCCTCCTTCTAAAGCTTTTGTAAAACTGTTTTCAGCATGGCATTATGAGCTCATTGCCTTTCCCTTGTGTTTTCTACGGCATCCATCTAAACTCATATGCTCGGGGGAGCCTTCACGACCTGATCCCACCTTCTCTCTTCCCAGCTCTAGAGCAGTGTGCTCCCTGATCCCATACAGACCAGCCCCACTCCAGCCATCCGCTGCCAGACATGTAGAATGCCTATCTTACGCCGATCTACCTATAAAAAAAAAATGTGCCTTGGGAGGCACCTTAGAGATTATCTAGAGTCCTGCTGCAGGTGACAGGACAGGCTAGAGACTAGAGAACCTGGTCCGAATCACATTGTACAGCGACGTGGTGATCCCATGCACTCTGATGTCCGGCGCTCAGATGCTTCAAGGTACAGTTTCGTACCAAGATGGTCTGGTAGCATTTGGTGGTTTCGCAGAACACCAGGCACCAGGATGTCACTGAATACTTGCTGATACGTGAATTCTAACCCCTCCCAGGCATCAGGCTCTGCCAGTCCCCTGTTTGACTTACCTGCCTCCTAAAACTCTGCAAGACTTGGTAGAAAACGAATCATCAATCTGACTTGTTGTTTCTTCAAAACCTTGACTGCGACCTTGAAACTGTGGTTCTGAAAACAACTGAATCTTTGAAAAAGTAAACAGAAATACATTGAATTATTTTCCTAAACACATTAACTCCTTCAGCCTTTGAAACAATGCAAACATGACCTATTAACTCTTGTTACAATAAACTGCTATGAATTTTATAAATCCTTTAATTTTCTACTTCTACATTAATGACCAATTAGAAATACTTTGGCTGCCCCATTCATGCTTATTTAATTCAGAGACATCAAAGGACAATCCAACAATAGAGGCCGGTTTCTATAGAACACCATGTCGCAACAAGCTGTGAGGCATTTTAAAGCTTTATTGTGGCCAAAAGTAATTGTTCATCAGTTCTAACATTTACAAGAAACTATATTTTGGAAACATAGTATAGTTTTCCTCCCTCTCAATGGAAGATACATGCTGACTTATTAGAATCCTGTGTGTGCCAATAAAGGAGGCTACAGTGGTGTTTTCGCCTCTGTAATTAGGGCTGTCTGAACTCTGAACACTTCATTAAAAAGCCTAAATAACCAAGGTGACACTTCAGTTGATGCCGACACTCAGCGTTCAAAGGCTTGGGTGAGAGACCATATAAAATAGACCATATAGAATGTTTGTCTAATGCAGACGCAGCAAATATGAAAATTCATTTTACTGTTTATCATATGTATTGTTTGAGATATGAATCTTAGTGTATTAATGTAAATTGATCTGGTATAATGATATCAAATTCAACTTTACATAATAAGAGCATTTTATAAGAAAGATTTAGATGTGGGTATGTGCTATCAAGCATTTATAAAGGAAACCTAAATCTAATTTTAAGATACAATTAAGCTTTCAGGTATAAAACTGGGTAAAACTAACAAAATGTCCCAAATGTCTCACATTTTACACATAAGATCAGCTTTTCAGTGGAAGCCCCTAATTATAAAAAATAGATTATTTTTTAAGTTACCTGACTTCGTTTCCTTGGGCCAGTGAAAGAATCCTAAAAATTTTTAAAGGGAAGAGAGAAGGAAATGAGTAGAGCACACATCTCGAAAAAGTTTTTTCTTCCAGATCATTAGCAATTACTGTGAAAAATAATCTCAGAATAGTTTTTGTAGTGTTATGTATCTCATGAACTGGAAGTACACATTAAGGAAATCCAGAAGTCAGTTAAATATTCTCATATAAAAGTATAACTCCTTACCAAACATATGGGTTGAACAGAAGAGATCTTACAATTTTTGCCTCCCCAGTCCTCAAAACTGGTATAGAAGCCTTTATCCAGTATATACTGTTCTCCTGTGAAGTCAGGATTCTCATAGGCTACCCATCTAAAGAAACAAAAACACTGACTTGTTATAATTCATAGTTTACATGTATAATAAAACTATCAAACCCACTTAGGTAAATATGTATCATAAGAAACTCCCATTTATTTTAATAATCAGTAATCTTGATTTTTCTGATTCTCTGTTAGTCTTTTGGGAGATTTATCTCTATGACAAATCAAAGTGACAAGTGAAAGAGTATCTTTACCTGAACCTTTTGGTGTTCTCACTTATCAAATCCTATTCCCTGAGAAAGCTCCAATGGGGATATTTGTCTGTATTTCTTTCTAATTCTATTTTAAGGAAACAATCTGGACTTCCAAGAGTACCTGTAAAGTTCTCTTAGTAAGCAAGCAAGAGTTCTTTTTGTTATCAACATTAATATTTTTCCAGAAAGATTACAAGAAACTATGTCTCTATTACACAACAAACCACAGTGGAAAGAAAAAAAGTTGACAGAAGAAATGCTTTAAAAAAAATATAGCTGGGGAGAACAGCATGTACTAAGGTGCAGAGATGTGACAGACTCGGGTGTGTTGGGAAACTGTAAGATATTGGGCATTACTGGAGAAAAGGAGACACTGTGAATGGGGGAGGGGATGAGGCTGGAAGGGAGGAAAGGTCAGAGGCAGAACCGAAGTATGATACCTCTTTTACAAATCACAGTAATTTTACTCTTTGGGTGAAAAACACATTCTTCAGGTTGGCAGGTATACACAGAGAGATAAGAATTCTCACGCTGTGTGCAGGAAATTCAAACCCATGGAAGTAGTGAACCACCCTGGAATTTAAATATTATTTGAAACAATAAGGCTGATTAATAATTATGCTACCTTGATGTTCTATGTAATCATCTTGATGTATAACACATCAGTCAAATTTCAAGAGCTGGGCATCTTTATAAATATATTGCTCTCCTTTTGCAAGGTCATCACAACAGTTCAAGAATTATTTGGGTTATAAGTTTTGTTTCTTATGCAAATAGTTATGATTTTGACCAAGTTGACTGTAAAACAAAATTCTCCATATCCTTAGTGGATTTATGTCCATTGGTATAATAAAAAATTGCTCCAAATTTACCACTAAAAACCAAACAAACAAAAAATATAGCTAAGTAATTAAAATTTTATTTGGAACAGGATTTCCGACGTGACATGACCATGTAGAGTAAGCAACATTGAACAAACACTCAGAAATACTAAAATCTCTTCTGGGATGTTTTCTTTTGTCACCTTTCAAGTGATCTACACTCAGAGGATAATCAACAAAACGAACTTACTGATGATACTTCCTAGCCAATGATAGTCTTTGAAAGTTTTTCAGTTCCGTTATATTCAAGAGATAACTCAGCGTCTCCTCCTGATTTAATTCGCTGCCCTCCTGACCGACTTGGAGCTGAAAGGAATAATACCTATATGCCTGTATATATACTCAAAACTTTCCAAAATGCTTTCACATCTTTGACTACATTCAATCTAGGGAGGTACAGGTTTTCCCATTTTACAGAACGGAAAAGCTAAAGACATAGAAAAGTTAATTCATTGATTCTTTCAACAAACATCAACTGGTCATTTATTGTGTGTCAGGAACTAGAGGGCAGTAGGCGTGCAAGGATGAAAACGACGATCCTTGCCCTTGAATTTACAGATGGCTGAGAAGTAGCACATGGAATTATTTGTTGGTGTTTGTCCTGAATGGGAAATGACTTGTCCAGGGTGACACAATTGATTAGTTGGTGGCCAAGGAAGGCTGAGCCCCCACCGGGTCTCCCGAGGCTCCCCACACTGCATCATGACCCGAGCTGCCACGTGCCCTGTCAAAAGTCTCCTTTCATTTACTCTTCCGTTAAGCTATACTTAAGACAGTCCGCACACTTTATAGCTAGAATAGATTATGATTTCACTGTCAAAAGGGCTTGACTTTAGACAAAAACCCAAAGGCAGTCATTAGGAAATGAAGAGCAATCAAGGAGAAGACGACCACGGCAGAAATCTCCAGTGTCAAGTAGCTCAGGACAGCAAGCATCTGCACGCGCACTTCCGGCTGTCTGGAAGCCCAGCCGGTCTACTGCATGAAAGGCTGCCCCCTCACTTCAGAACCTCATCAGCTATTTTGAGAGCCTGTCCTTTAACATTGTGAGGTCAGGAGTTAGGAGACCTAGTCCCAGCTATGGTCATGACATTAACTTCCAGATAACTTTGAAGGGGTCACTTAACCTTTGTGAGAGATCCTCTTTTCATTCATAGGTAAGGAGGTTGCCCAGGATCCCAGTGCTGATGTTGCATGAGCTTATACAGAGCCTGGGAGCCTCGGTGTACGGCCTTGGGCTTATGAAGAGAAGTGACGGCCAAGTGAGAGCATGGAATTTATGTGGGGAGGAACATCTGCACAGCAAGAATATCTACTTTACAAAAACCGGGAGAAGAAGAAGAAAGAAGAAAGAAGAAAGTAGAAAGAAGAGGAAGAGGAAGAGGAAGAAGAAGAAGAAGAAGAAGAAGAAGAAGAAGAGGAAGAAGAAGAAGAAGAAGAAATAAAGAAAAAGAGGTTAAGCCGTATCACAAAAAAAGTATTCCTGGCAGGCTCTGCATCTGTAACTAGTTAAAGGAG